GCGGGGGGAGGAAGGTGGGGAGAGTGAATGCCAGGCGAACACCCCAAGGCCGTCATCACTCTACACCTCCAGGAGCACTCCTCGCCCCCCAGCGGGGTTATTTTGTGTGCACTAGGTCACATCATGATTTCATTTCTCCCCCCGCTCCGGTTACAAGCGCAGAGTGAGCGTCCGAAATAAGAGACGAAAGCAAAAAAAAAGCCAGTAATTAACAGAAGAGCCCCCCCAATGGTTTTTGCCGTTGGAGTATAAATACCTGTCCAGTCAGTCGAGGGTTGGACTTCTTAATTCCACTTCTTTAAATAACTTACAACTGCAGAAATACCAAAAAAGGGGGAGGGGAAACACACGGGAAAATGACACAGGGTACAAAACAAAAAACAACGACTAAAGAACAGAAACAAGACCGAAATACGTAGGGACGCGTGACGGACTCGCAGTCGAGCAGGCGGACAGAAGATTGAAAGGTCGAGGAAGGAGAGGAGAAAGGAGACTATGAAGGAGGAGAGAGGACGACGCACAGGGGGGGGACCTTACTAAACGTGGTGATACCGGCAGGGTCGTAGGAGAGACGGACCAGAGAGGGAGTCAGGCAGGAAGAAGGATGAGAAGGGGAGACAGGGTCACGAAAGGACAAAGCCATATTCCGAACAAGGTCGACGAGTCGCTACTCACATTTTGCAAACGTACAGGTAAGATGAGTAGAGAACTACCAGTAACTCGCTCACTGTATATCGCCATACCAATCGTCGTACCCCAACTAAATCCCAACTCCGACTCCCCGCGATACAGAATCATTACCCACTACAATTCGTAAGTACTCTGTATCCGTGCCACGCATTGTTTCTCACATTCCGCTCCAGATAAGGTAATCAGACCGCTACTTAGAAAGCGAGACAGAAGAGTGAGAGCCGAGAGAGACCAAGTCCTGCGCAAGTCGCCCCCTACACTACTACCTCCCTACGCTCGAGCTCCGCGATCCGGCGCAGCAGCCACCGTTCGCTCCCGCTTCGTTCGCCGAGTGCTTGGCGACACGGACAGGACGAAGTGAACGCCCAGTGTAATAGCAAGACGCCAGAACTCTAACAGCAGAGGCGAGCGCGCTAGAGACGTAAACACCACGCGTCGGGCGCCTAGTCAGGTGTGCATGCACAGCGACTACAGTCCAGAGAACACACGCCTGTCAGCAGAAATTAACTACCATGCATTCAAGAACTCCTAGCTAGCCTAGCCTCAGAACCAACAAATGTAATTAACCCTCGTATATCACCATCACTACTATCAATTACTTCTAACAATCACTTATTACGGAATTAACTATATACATTTCCACAAGAAGTCACACCTGGGTGCCTCCGATAACTATACCCGTTACTTATACAACTACCAACCAAGGCATCATTAAATGCCCATTCAGATTTACAATTCATGCCCACTGACAAGCGTGTAGTCTATACACTTAAAGATCCTGCATGCACAACACACAACACAACAACACCCACAAAAACACCCCACACCACTAAACCACGGCCGAGCACAAAAACACCACCTACTCACGTCGGCGCCCTTAAGCTTCTCGTGCAACCCACGGGCGGCACCATCCGTCCCTGTCCGTGTCGCCCAAGCCCCACATCGCCACGAAGCGGGACAACCGGTGCACCTGCTGCCCCGCACCGGGAAGGCTTCAGGCGACGAGTAGAGCGTCACGTCGAGGGGCACCAAGACTCTCGGTCTCCTCCTCGACTCTCACTCTTCTGTCTCCTTCTCAAGACTCTGCATTTACTACACGCATGTGAGAAACAATGTCCGGACTACAAGACAACGCGAAATGTGCATAATCCTGTATCCGGGGAGTCGAGTTGGTATTTATGTACACCCCAAGGTTGAACATAACAACAGTAACTGTAGTTCATATACATCAATCTACCTCACTTTCACAAAATGGTGAGTACACTCTCGACCTTTTGTCTCGACTATCTCCTTTTCGTGTTCACTTCTGGTAAGGGGGGGTGGCGGGGTTAGTGAAGAATTACAGTGAACAGCATTGCAGCGAACGACTGCACAAACAGAGGAGGAACAAGTCAGAGCAGAGATAGAGAAATCAAAACGGACAAAAAGGAGGAGACTGTGAAAGGATTTTCCATCACAAATACGTAGAAACACATAGTCGTTCTTTTAAAAGAAACAAAAACGATGAAATGGGTGCATTTTTTTCCCATGCAAAAACTGTCAGCCATGTTGCAAGTTCCAAATGAAAGGGCAAAAAGAAGAGTTAAGTCAAATTAAAGGAGTGCAAAAAGAAAATTATCCAAGCGATTCCTGGCCTCAAACCCAAAAGTGTTGAGTCATGCTTCCAGAGCTAAACCCTCTCCAAACTCTAAACACACTGCGGATCCCAGAATGCAAAGGCCTAGACTAGGTGACATGGGGGAGTTTGACAGACAGTTGATGACGTCGCCTTGTTTTGGCAACACTCTATAAAACAACCCTCTTCATTTGCCAGTGTGTGTTTCCAGTGTGCGTTAACAGCCGTGTGTAAGGATCCATGCCAAGCCTGCGGATTAAACTGTGTCGCTGAGCGGTGGGAAGAAAGAGACGTTTAGCAGGAAAAGTGTCAGCGACTGCTATGGCATTAACTGGATATCTGATCATATCTGCGACAAAGGCCAGGGACAGGAACTTATTGTTTCAGGTTACAATGCCCTGGGACTCTTCATTCCCTCCTCAAGCAGAGCAAATTCAGCTCATAAAAGAGCTGAAAATGTAGTACATTTTTGAGGGAGTGGATGGATTTGGCATACCAGGGGATGATCATTTGTTTTAGAGATAATCCTTAATATTCTGGCTGCTTAATGATTGTGTGAGATGAAGACTTCCTCCTCTTCTTCGTGTTCTCCTCCACCCGAGGCTTCTTCTAAAATAGAGTGGTGCAGTCACAAGTCCTAAAACCAGAATACGAGTTAGCATATTATCACTTACGGTTCTCTTGTTTCGAAGTCAAGGTTTTTTTGAAAGTTTTTTGGTAAAAAAGCCTGAAATAAGATCGGTGGTTAACACAAGCTCAGGATATATATCAACCCAGTCTCATGGCATTTCGTGTTATAGTCACAACATTTAATCTATTGATTCGTGTTTAAATCAGACTTTAGTTACACCTGAGTAAAATTCAGGGAAAGGTGATTGTCAAGTGCCAACAATCAGGAGAGATATTTGATAGTTGGTGCTTGAGAAGACTAAACATTTATCTGCAGATCTCTATAAAGTATATTCATTACTCGTTATTCTCTACTAATAAGGTTCCTCAAAGTTTAAATTATTTAAAGAGTGCTGTGGCTGGGGGAGTTGATGAGAGCAGAATAAAGTTTGCATTTGAAAAAAAAAAAAAATGCTAATGTTGTTCTAATTCAATGGTGGTTTGCAACAAACGCTGCAATCGCCCCTGGTGCCGCTCGACTAGGTGGAAGCGCTACCCTCGGTGTCGCGCAGCTAATTAGCACTGATCTTTCAACTTGCATCAATCAGAACACCGCTGCATGTACCAACGCAAGCTAACAGGAGATTTAACCATTGAAACGCAACATAACTAGCTGTTTTTACTGCAAGTGTCTGCACCCAACCTGGCTGTAAGCAAAGAGCACAGTGGGTTTAACTTTTTGAAAAGTTCTGTGGCTGGAAGAGTTGATGAGAGAAAAATAAAGTTTGCCTTTTAAAAAAAAGTTAAAGAGTCTAAAAAGTTTTGCTGCTAATAAAAAGATCCCCTTACAGTGGCTGCTTTCATCCCACAAAGGTCTTTGAACCATTCATATCGATCGGGGTTAGACATTGTTGAGTCTATGATGGAGAAAATATATGATATTTATATTTATTTCTCTGATATTTAACTTTCACTGCAATAATTAAGACAACATTTCCAACCCGATTACTTCCTGTTCTACACAATTCATTATGGCAGGCCAACGCAAGGTAACTTCTCCTGCCTATTTTGTATTCTGTTTACCAAAATATGTCTTGAAATTTTACATTAGGAAAAATATTTGTTGAACTTAAATAAACCATTCGGGCTGACACCCATCTCTTTTTATTATTATTAATTTCTCAATGGTTCAAATGTATGAAGTGAGTTCAAAAACCCCAGCAACAATTTTGTGTCGATCAACCTGAAAATCCTTGTGAACAGAGGTAACCCCCGCCTACTCCACACTGTTGGGCTCAGCCGCGGGAAGCACACACACAGGCAGACGAAGCTGGGGGAGGAGGGGTCGGGCGGAGGGGAGGACCTGATGGGGGATGATCGGGTTGGGATGCAGGGGGGACGTCTGAAGCCAGGGAGGTTGAGGTCTCAGGAGTGGTTGGGGGTGGGTTTGGTGGGAGTGTTAAGGTGATAAAAACCTTTCATGACATTAGGGTCTGTGAGGTTCCGCGAGCAGATCATTGAGATCATAGCATGGAGCCTATCTTCCTCTTCCTCGTCATCGTCCAACGACGGAGCGCGGCTGCCCGTGGTGTGGTGGTAGTTTATAGTGACTGCTTGCACCAGTGGGACAACAGAGAACACAGTTAGAAAAGAGCCAACCTGCAGACCTCAGGAAGAGCATTGTGGGAAAGACACCGTCCTACACCCATCATGGGAAGATAACAATAAGTATCTTTCGATCTTACATAAACAAAACCTACTTTTTCTTGCATTTACTTATTATTTATTGAATTATTTGACTTCCTTATTCCTTCATCGGGGCCCGGGACTTACGATTTGCATTGCTAACAACTACACCGTGGGTTTTGTGCATATTAGAATAAAACATTTATATCTTTGAAATTCAAATTTGTGTATTTACAATAGAAGGACGATTACGTTTTTTCCTCTCCTGCCTCGTGTGCATAAACTAAACTAGTGTGCATAACAGTGTGAAAATGTGTCTTACTGGCATCGGTTCGATATCCAGGGTAGACGATGCGGAACACGTAGTCAGCAGCCGTCTCCTCCTCCACGCTCCCGTCCTGGTCCAGCAGTCTAGCAGCGCTGCTCCTCTTCCTCAGTTTAGGGAACACTTTGCCCTGCAGAACACAAACAAGTGTATCGAATTTACAAAATGGCCACAAGGCTTTTACTGTCTAATAAGCCAGATCATTCTGAATATATATGTAATTAAAAGGGAAAGAACGTCATTGTTATTTGGTATGATGGTAGGCAAGTTGTTGTTGCGGTTGTAAGCAAAGCAAAAACACCTTAAACCGGCATTCTCTCTAATAGCCAGACTCCTCTGGTTACACAAATAAGTGTGATTGTATAGAAGTCTATGAAAAAATGACCTTCCTTTCACTTGATTTATTAGCTCAGTAAAAATATTTTTTTACAACAGTCTTCCTCATGACAGTATGGTATTTATTTAGTACATTATGTTTTTTTTTAAGTCAAATAGAAGATATAGAAGTGCATGCTTTAGGGCAGGGCTACCTTGTGATTGACAGGTCACAACCACAGTGTCAGGGGGTTTTCCAAGTTTTTGCCTTATAACTTTAACCCTATTACATTACTGTAATATGTTGCATTTCACAGCCCCATCCCCCATCTTAAATATTTGTACCAGCTCCTTCTCTTCTATACTTTTTATTGGATAAATGAAAAAGATGTCAACTACCTTAATACACATTAGCATATTTATTATATACAAATGTTGTCTATTCAATGTTTCAAAAATAATGACACCAAATTAAATTAAAGGCAAAATGACAGCCCCCAATTTATTCTGATTTAAAGTCAACAGTTTAGTGCAGTCATTACACTGTCCGATTATTCTCAGCTGGTGGCATAGACAGGGAGGCTGAAAGTGCCCATTTTAAATATGTGCAGTGCACATCTTACCTGCACCTGGATTTCAATACAATCTAACATTAGGTTTGGTTGCAAATAGAAATGTTAAAAACTGACACACCTTGCCTTTCTGTGACCAGAGTGGGGGCTCCAGCTGACCCCGGGGTAAGAGGCCTGTTTCCAGACAGGAGAGGAAGGCCAGCAGGTGACCGCCGGGGGGGAAGTGGAGAGGCGGCCGCTGGATTCCATCCTGACTCACAAGAACCAGCGTACCACCACAATCAGCTGGGAGATGGTGAAAATACATCAGGCAGGAAAAAGAGAAAAATAACATTTATAAATATATTCTATTATAGAACAAGAAAAAAAGGAGAAGAAAAAGAACAGGAAGAAGAATGAGGAAAACAACAAGAAGAACAAAAATAAGAACAAGAACATGAACAAAAAAGACAAAGAACACAAAGAATAATAGGAAGAGGAACAAGTAGAAGAACAAGAAGAACAAGAAGAACAAGAAGGAGAACAAGAATATCCTTGAGGAAAGAAAATAGGTTTTCACTATGTTGTTTTGTAGTTACATGAAAATATGAAATCATAATTTCCTAGATACAATTTTTTATTTGCTTTGTTTCTCAGGGCTTTCTGATGACTACTATGCACTTATAAATGAGCCATTTTAATATTATTTTGATATGACTGCAGCTCAAGAAACACGTACAAACTAGCTCAATACGCTGATGTGGTTGATGCAGTGTAATTTGAATGCTCTGGAGGAAGGTAAACTCACGGCGCTGGTGGCAGTGGATACACACTATCTGGCGCAGAGGGACAGTAAGTGCGTAGTCCCAGTAGATACTGAGAGACAGAGAGGGGGAAAAAGGTGCAACATGAAGCTTCAGAGGCAGATTCAATTTGCTCTTTCATTAAATGCACATTTTTCCATCAGGGGCGTTAGATCATATACTGTATAAACCTCTTCTCCAGGTCACACTCTCCCAGCGTGCCGTTGATGAGCTGGTTGGGGGTCCACTTCAGGGTGAGGTGTTCTCCCGCCTGGTGGAGTGACAAGTAGCCTCGCAACACCTCCATGTCCTTCTTCTACCATGGGAGAAGGAAGAGGAAGAAGAGATAACATAGCATGAGACTTCAGCAATAAGGAGCATGAAACAGAGGGGATCCATGAAACAGTTTTATCTAAACAACTGCTGTGAGATGTTCAGTTTAACCACCTGAAAGCTTGCTCTCTAATCTAAGTTTAACATTTTGGAAAAAATGCTTATTCTCTTTTTTATGAGAAGATCAATACTTTTGATTTCAATCTTCTTATAACTCATAAAGTAAGCAAAGTAGCAGGATTCCCAACATTTGGACTATTTACTTCAATCATTTCATATTTTATCCTGAATAAACAACACAAACATATTTACGATTCCATCAATATAATAATATGCGATATGATACAATACACTACGATATGAAACAATACATACAATGTAAAATATACAATAAGATAAGACAATGTACTATAAGTCCCAATACTATACAATACAAAACAATAAGATACGCTACTTGACTTTTAAGCGGTGGACAAACATTTGACATACATGTATGTACGGATGCACTCTGAACACACATGTAACTTGTGTTCAGAGTGAAAGAAGAAAACTCAAATGGTTTAAGTCCAATTTAGAACATGGGGTAGTGGTGCACTTCAGACTCTTGTGGCCAAAATGAGTATTAAAACAAGTTAGTCAAGTCATAGACAGGAGAAAAAAAGGAATTTAATCCAACAAACTATTTTTCTCTTTTTCTTATTTGCCTGTCAGTGCTTGACATTTCTGTTTACATTTGAGTCTAACTAAAGCTCTTTTTAATCAAGATTTTGATCTTAACTGACTATGGTTTCTCCTAGAAAATAACCCTCAGATCATGTTATTTAAAAAAGGTTTGCAGGGCCTCTTACTTTGATCTACAATCATTTAATAGAAAGTTTATCAAATTCTAACTAAATAAGTTCTGAGATGCTGTAAATACTGTGCTATATGTCACTGCGTGGCGGACTCTAAGGACATGCCGATGGTGAAACACTAGCAATCAACTTCTGTGTCTTTTCCGTGATATTTTACCTTCACACCAACACAGTAGAAGTTCTTTGTCTTTATTTTTCCCCCAACTTCTAATCTACAACGTGGAATATATACAGAAACTACGGTATTATTTCTGAAGCAGGGAGTAGAATCATTTATAATGCGTAGATTCATCTGTGCACTCAGTGTCAGCGTGGCTCTATCTGAAGCAGGGGGTTGTGGGAGGTGAATTTGTGCTCATTATACATCACCAGGGCCAAACACGCTGGAGCTACTTGGCAGAGCACATAGCCAGCAGGAGAAAGACAGCTTTCATTGCAAAGGTCACACACACTAAATACTGTGTTTGTATGCAGCACAATGAGGAATACAAATAATCATCATTTGCAATTTATCAGTACACCAGAGTGCTGTGTGATCGGCATTTACTGTACTTTACGTAGGCTTCTGAGGTGGGTGTCTGCCACAGAGCAACCATAGATTTAAAAGTGATTATATAAGGTTATAGTAAATGTATCTGTACTTGTATTTCATATTTTTGTATTGTGTTATTATTTCAGCACCTGCTGAAATGACTTTGTACAATTCTCTACTTGAGAACTATGATATATTTGTATTTATTTAGGATTTGACACTTATTTATCATCAAGTTTATCGTAATTGAGTTATTTGTACCAAGAACAATGGAATGGGATACCTCACTGGAGGATATATATTTCTTAACTAATCAATTATTAACTCACTTTTTGTGATCTTGAAAAATCATAGTTAAAAAACATTTTTTATATCTTTTGAATAATCTAACTCCAAATAATACAAGGCAGGGGAATGGACTTCTGCTTTAGACGCTCACTGCACTGAAAATATACATTTTAAATGTCAACATTTCAAGAGAGTGATCATTTAAAGAAAACACTGTCGATTGATTTATTTTTAGGGAAACAGCTCCAATGAAATTAAACATGCATGGATTACTGATGTGTTCTACTTACTCAATTAGTCACTTAGTGGAGACAGATATCATGAAGGCCAACTATTTAGCAGCTCAAATATTATCTTTGTCAAAAAGCACATTATTTAAACAAGACAAAAAAAGTGTGATTACGAACAGACATTCCATGTATTTGCGTTCGGAGCTGGTTCTAAAGGGTCGAACCAACTTTAGGCACATTGTTTAGTTAGTAGTCAGATAGTAGTGATACTGTGAATAAAAGCTGGTCACAGAGATCCTACCGGTTGCACCAGGACGTTGTTCTTGCCGTAGAGGAGGTGTGTTCGGGAGTTTTGGTGCAGAGACTCCACGTACTCCCGGGCTGATGCAGCAAACCTGTCCTCTGACATGCTGCCGCTGGACTGCCTCTTACGGATCTAAATAAGAGAAGAGATTTAACAGCCAACTCATCTAATTTCACATCACCCTCCAGCAACAGCTCTTGAGTGTGACAGAGGAGCACCCCCACACTCACCCCCAGAGCGGGCCGGCGGCCAGCAGGGGTGTCTTGGCCCCGATGGGCCCCGTGGATACGGTGGCGCTGAACTAGCTCGTTGGCTGAGGGGTCAGTCCAGAAGTGATCGGAGGTCTTCAGTTTGGTGTACTCCAGAGCACAGGGCCCCACTAAGAACACAGCACAGACACACACACACACACACACACACACACACACACACACACACACACACTTTAACACATCCAGTAACCGACTACTAACAATACCAAAATATATAGTATATCATATGTTCTAATAAAGGAAGCCCTGAGAGGCATGTTTTAACACAATCCTGGTGATTCATTTTCTACGTCTGATCTAAATAGTGTTCCCAGGATAATCTGTTTTAGTTCCTTAATGTATTTATTTTCCAGGTCGGGAAAAGGGTGTTACCAGGTGAAAAGCTCTCAATACAATAAAGACACAAACATGTGAGAACAATTCAAACTAACTTGGAAGAAACAACGTATGGTTTTGATTCTTTAAACATTTAAAACATGGGCATATGGTGACAGAGTTTTCACAGTTAGAAAAAAAAAACCTCTTAGACAAATAATCCTGGTAAAACCTTATTTTTACCTGGTTAAACATTTTGTATCACCTGTTTCTCAGATGAAAAATAACAAACGTTTTTAAGATTATCCTGTCAAAACTTTTCTTACATGTTTAACATCATTATATAGTTAATTACCTAATAAATAAAATAAATGTACTCGCATTTGTGCACATTACAGATTTTACTGTTTGTATTGCATATTTTCACCCAGCTGTTCCTCACTTGTCCTCCAGGGGTCCTCAGTGTGCCACTGCTCTGCACACCTGTTGCTGATCCCCTCATTAGCTGCTCTCTGCCTCACCTGCATCTCGTTAGTCTTCCCTCAATGTGGATATTAAAGGTATTTTGTCACTGTTCATGTTGTCTCCTCTGATTTAGTCAGGTAAGCTCTTTGTTTTCTGAGTATTAATACTGTAAAACATGTACTGTGCACTAATGCTGAAAAAACAGAGATCCTGAGAGACAAATTAGGTGATAAATGATCTTTGGCTCATCTAAAACGATCTATCCCTTCTCTATGACTGGTTTATAACATGAGGGAAAGGGTTTTCCCAGGATAGAAGTCTGATCTTTGAAACAGATGGCGTAAAAGAGTTTAACCAGGTAGAAATAAGGTTTTAAGATACTTGTTCTAAGATAGTTGTTTTCCCATCTGTGGTAACCATAACCCCAATGTGTTGAATAAGATTAAACCAGTCATTCTTCCAGGTTAGTTTTAATATCTGAAACCCTCATTTCTCACATATTTGGAGCTTTTTGCGTGTTTACATAAAGCTCAAAATGATCTGCCCTTACAGTAAGAATTGCCAAGAGGATGATTATGTGGTGATTGTAATGATTGCAATTTCCGGAACGACAGTGTTATTTGTTTATCTAATAGTTGATTTGTTATAAAAACAGGATTCTGTGGTTTTGTACTTTGTGTAACAGGCCTTCAGTAATGTTGGCAGTTAAAGCACAGTGTGATATACTCACCCAGCAGGACTGCCAGGATGGGCCCGAAGACTTTGTCATGCATCAGAGCCTCCCTCTCATAGTATTTACTGCAGACAGAAACACAGAAATAAAGTGTATTAACGGAAAATAACTTGCCCCAGGAACCAGAGGGTGGCTGCCGGTTTATTTGTACTGTTATCTGTAGAGAAGTGCGCTACATTAAGGAACCAAACTCTGAGCTGCCCTAAATGCTGAAACACTTTTTTAAAAAGTATATTAAAACTGGCTAACAATTAACCAAGTAGATCCCCATGAAAATAATGGACCAGGGCTCCACTCAAGCTAAAAACTGAGATTTAACAAAAAAAACAGAAGATACTTTTTTAACAGCCTGAACAATGTCTTACAGTATATAGCTGTTAAGGCATAATGGAAAGTCTTTTTTTGTATTATTATAATTTTTTGGACACATTATCTGTAGTTGTTCTCTGGATTTTACTTTTAACTTATGTGATAAGATAATAAATCTATCTATCTACATAGCCGCGGGAAGTAGGGGTGCTGGGGGTGCTGCAGCACCCCCTGTTGGCGAGTGGTGTACATTTTAAAAACTGAGTGACCACCTAAATAAAAATGATTAAACTACATAAAATAGTTATGATTTTACTTAAAATAAAATTAGCTGTATACAGTAGCATATAATATTCATAGTATATATTTGTATTGAATTTATTTTCCAAATAAATAAAATCCGAGTCATCTAGGTCTTAGGTCGTGGGAGAGTGACGTAATTGACGCGACACACACACTGCAGAGTGACAACTTTCTAGAATGGCGCAAAAAAGGATTTGGGATTTTTTTCTCCAACAAAAAACCCAATAAAAAGAGTGGACCACCAGCTACTCCTCAGCCCACCACCTCGAGAGTAATATGACACAGAAGAGACTGACACATCTGACTTTGATGCATGTCCATAGTAACATTTTGGACAATGTGAATGTATCTGCTCTAATGAGGGTCTTCATTAGTGCCACCCCAGGCTACATTTGGGGTTTTGTGAAGCCCCAACACATACGCAAGGTAAGACGATATTTTTCCTTTAATGATGCTGTCGCTGTGCAGTGTTTTGCCTTGTCAATCAGTTAAAATTGAATTAATAGTTTTATTAATAGTGTAAATAATATTTTCTGACTATTTGTAATGTTATGTAGGTTTGTAAGACCCATAGTTAGCATGTGGGCATGTGCAGCTGTTGCTAAGTGATGTAGGTCTATAATGGTTTATTAAGCACCCCAGGTGAATAGGGTGATTTTTTTTAACTTAAAGATATCAGCTAGAAATTTCTCCAGTTAATTACCTACAATAATGCCTTATTGTAGGTAATTAACTGGAGAAATTTCTAGCTGATATCTTTAAGTTAAAAAAAATCACCCTATTCACCTGGGGTGCTTAATAAACCATTATAGACCTNGGCATCAACCTCCAAAACCCTTTCGAGGGCTACAAGAAACGAAGTGAGTAGCCTACAAGATTGAAGCTGGTCAGATAACGAACGAGTAAATAAAAACAGAATGAGGCGGAGAAGTGTGTGTGTGTGTGTGTGTGTGTGTGGGGGGGGGTGGTGTGTGTGTGAGATTACAATAGCCCAATTGCTTTTACAATAAATAAACATTGAATGTGTTTAATTGAATAGTAAAGGGGTTTAACGTTAGTGGCAGGTTGTGTGTGAGAGAGAATAAATAAGACAGCCCAATATTTAAAAAAATTGTTATTCTTTTCCCCCGCATATTTAGCATATTTCGCAACTTTCCGCATATTTCCTAACTTCCCGCAATTTCACCGCATAAAATCACATAAAACCCCGCATGTTTAATCGCATAATCAAGGATTTCTGCCCGCGTTTTTCTGGAGGGTCTATAAAATGTTCAATACATTGACTGATAAACACAATCAGCCTCTGCCTTTGGAGCTGCCAGGGGAACCTCCTGCGACTCGAAGTAAACAAAAGAAAGAAAGCAAATGACTATCATTTCAAACTGTAATTGGGCAGCCACATACTTCCAGACAGTGTGCTCTGACCACAGAGAGAGAAGAGACAGCGTTAATACGAGTTCAGCGATAAGCGTTATGGCGGTGGCGATGGTTGATGAGGAAAGATTGCCGATGCTCTTACACCTCAAAGAAAAGAAACTGCAGAGAACTTGATATCCGTCCGCTCTGCAGCTGATGTAATGACCCTCAGTGAGTGACACTAAAAAAGCATTCTCCATGATCGTCTGACTCTCATATAGTGGCTTTAATCAGGCCCACAGCGAGCAATATCGCCTATCTTCTTTTCAGACGCAGCTTAGATCTCATATCATCGCACCTTTGGTGAAAAAATAAATTAAAATGTTGGCGGCAGCGACGGTTGTGTACTGATGGCAGATATCCGAGGCTCCCTTTTTTTGCTTTTAGCCGCGATGACAAGCACACTCCTTCAATGTCAGAGCCCCCGGGGGCCGTATTAATCAATGGGCATTATCTCAAAATCACATTAATGGTTCTCACTTACGGCGAGCCAGTAGAGTAATCTTTCACTCTAGCGGCTTGTCTCTACTGTGAGGGGGGAAAACTGGAGACAGGAAGGTGACACGCCCAGACAGTTCCTCCCCTTGAACCAAAACTAGAAAAACATTTGAATTATGGGATATTAATTAGCCACTGCAGACTCCTGTCCCTTGGGAAATAGGTGTCAAGGCAATTTACATTCATTTTCCCCCTGTGTCACATCTCAGGCCGCTACTAATTCAGCCTGAGTGGAAAGCGTGTCTCAGTGAAAATGATTCCTTTGGCCTCCACACAGATGTCTGCTGACTTCATTTTCAAATTCAAGCAGCAGACTACTCCGAGCAACTAGTCGCGAACCAGCCACGATGAAATCAGGAAAATATGATGTCAAAATAAAATCTATTATTATAACATCTATTATTTAGCATAACTGTCTTCATCAGCAGCAGACACACCCTTTTAAACTGTGCAATTCAGCATTAATATATATTCTTATTTTAATACATTTTTACTTCAACTTGTCACATTTGTATAAATATGTTTATTTTATTTAGTTTTTCCTTTTTCCTTACTTTAACTTCTTCGGTTAATATGAATATTTGTATCATTTTTTTAAATATATGTTTAATTCATCTCATTCTGAGCGACTGTCACAACATTTACCCCGGGATAAATACAAATAAATGGTGAATAAAGTAAATAAATATACAAAATTATTCAGATTTTCGTTGTGATTCTGATTTAAATCAATACTACAATAGGTTATTGTGCTGCTGCTGGCCCTCTCCTCTTCACTTTGTATGCAGCTTTAAAGAGAAACCCCCCCGCAGGGCCCGATGAAAGGGCAAACTGCTCAGGTATGCCAGACAGCATCACAACCCACTGGTCAGGCTGTATTGGGTACAATATAATGTTTAAGTTTCATATTTAATCCAGATTGGCACGTAAAGCAGCGCAAGAGTTCAATATTATTTTGGCGGGAAATTGAAATCTGGTTGTATCTGTGCAGAATGGTGGAGTACACGATAGATGGATAGATGGATAGATGGATAGATAGAGAGATGGACGGACTGACAGACAGACAGACAGACTGACTGACTGACTGACTGACTGACAGACAGACAGACAGACAGACAGACAGACAGACAGACAGACAGACAGACAGACAGACAGACAGACAGACAGACAGTGTTGGCTCGGATAGGTTGAGCTTTGTTGCTCAAAGGAGAGGTGCTGCCCCAAAGTGGTGTGTCAGACTGAAAAGCACACATTCTTTAGAACGCATTATTTATTGTGCTTATTATGTTATTATAATAAAAAAATATTCTTTTCATCAGCAAGTCTCAATTCATCTCAGTCAGCCGAAGAGCACCTCAAAGAAAAAGAGAAGAAAGTCGAGGTTATCTTTGCACTGACGTGTTATTCTTATTTTCTGAGTTCAGAAATCGTTTTCCTATTTTTTCTTGTGTGTGTTAATGGACAGAAAAGTGTTATATTTTTTGGTTTGGATATTTAAAGAGCACATAAATAGCAGGTTTCTGATGCAGGCATAACATGAATGCAGCGCAGAAGCCCTCTCTCCTATTGTTACGGCCCGTCCACACAGCAGCGTTAAAAACATCTTCCAACGCTTCTCTGCCCATTGACTTTGAATGGGGGTGACGTCACTTTGCCTCGCTTTTCGCCGAACTGCATTGTGGGGAAGCGAAGCGAAGATTTCCAGGATTTTCAGGATTCAAAAGTTGAGCAATGTTCAACTTTTGAAGCTGAGGTGGAAGCGTCAGCCAATCAAATCCCGTTTATGCAAATCTGACAGTTCAAGCGCTAGCCAATCAAACCGCATGCAAGCTGGGAGAGCCAGACCGCAGTTCATTTCCTCATATTCCAAACGAGAAATTACGGTAGCAAATCACCCGGTTCTTTACGACCAGTCCCTATTTACTTAGCGGGATACAAACCGGAGGAACCAGGCATGGAGGGAGGTGGCAGAGACAGTGGGTGAAACTGGTAGGTTTTCGCCTGTTTGGAGAGTTTTATATCCAGTTTACTTCGTTTTAACATTTCTATTGCTTTGTATGTCGGGGGCGGGAGATTCATGTGATTGGTTGTTGGTCGCGTTGCTCGCAAAAAAATCCCCAAGCTTTCAGACACGCCCACCTCCAAGATTTTCAAGATTTTTTTCAAGCTGCTGTGTGGACGGGCCGTGACAGTAACAGAATCCCAGTGCTTGTTTCCACTCTGTGATTCAAATCTGCTCAAAGATTTAATTGGTTCTTCCTCCGCCCTTGCTTCACCCTTCCACCAAGTTTCAGGAACATTAGACCATTAGTTTTGTGTCAAACCAAAAAACAAAAAGACTAACACAATGAGCCAAAAACCTAATCTCTTTGGCAAAGGAACTCAATTAAAATAGTAAATAAAATTGTGACCGAAATAACCTCGTCCTGTCACAGACACTGGTGACTAACACAGTGTTTTTCCTGTGGCTGCTTCCTTATAAAAGCCACCCTGGTTTGTAAGCTTTTGATATGAAGCAATAACAGTGGAGAAGATATCCTCCTAATACAGATACCACTGCTGCAGACACAGGGAGGCTTCTTATAATGAGATACTATGAAAGTAAAGTGAAAGTTTGTTTGTGAGTCCATCTTTTGCGGGTACCTCAATTGAACCCTTCACGGTGAAGGTGGTCTCCAGCACTAACAATGAGGAAGGCTACAGAGAAAGGAAGTTACAGGGTGATATTGTTGGCCATAATTACTATCCAAAATGAGTTTTTATCCTGTGAAGTTGAAGTCCTTGTATTGTTGACTCGTGGTGTTTTGCTCCAGAGCTGTAACAAGCCAAACAAAAACTAATTTCGCTGGGTTTTTAATGAACCTCTTCAGCCCAGGGCCTTTCCGTTGAGTGTCGTTATGAAAGCACTGTTTGAAGGGACTGACAGTTGGATGTTGAAATAATGTGCTCCCTGACAATTACAGATGAATCAATTTTCCAACCTTCTATCTCCCGAACAGAAACATTAATATAA